ATAGCCTACGTCTAAAAAGGCGAATGCACCCCAGTCAAAGTGACACGGAGACGTGGAGGGGGCACCTCCTGTCAGGGAGAGGGCGCCACCCGCTTGCGGCTGTGGGGCTGCCACAGCCTTCCATGTGGGAAACAACAGAACAACGTCTGCCCCGGGGAGTAAGTGAGGTCGGGTCACACCCTGACACACTTGACTGCGATTCCATTTTTTAAATAGATTTTTCTTTTCTAAAATGGGAGGCGTTTTCGTTTTCTCATTTTTGTCATTTCAAACTTTTTTCTGTCTTTTCCCAATTTTTTCTTTTTGGAACTATGCCCTTTAAAATGATGCCATTTTGGAGGCATGAACTGTATCTCCAAGCTGTTAGGGCAAATAAGGATAGAAACAGTTAGGTGGTGGCCAGATGTGGGCTGCTGGCTCTAGAGTGCTGCCCCGGTTTGAGCCCTGGGGTGGTGGGGGGTGGGGATGACACAGTGGGGGAGGGGCGGGGCTGAGGGGGGCCCTTGCCACTGCCCACTGCTCTGTGGCTGCGCAAAACCAATGAATTGCAGGAAGCATGTGGCCAAACTTGCAGTTCCTAACTTGTGCAATTGTGTGGGTGCAGAGCAGAGTGAGCTGAGCTGTCTCTCAGTTCTGGAAAGGGATCAAAACCGTGGTGCACCCCGAGTTTCTGCCCCATGCCTGAGCTGCTTCTCCCTGCAGCCCAGCGTCGTGGACCGTGTGGCCAGCATGCCCCTGATTAGTTCCACCTGCAACATGGTGTCCGCGGCATACACCTCCACCAAGGAGAGCTACCCCCACGTCAAGACTGTCTGTGATGTGGCAGAGAAAGGGGTGAAGACGCTCACAGCAGCTGCTGTCAGTGGGGCGCAGCCCATCCTCTCCAAGCTGGAACCTCAGAGTGAGTAAAGAACTCCTGTGACTGTTTCGGGGGTCTGCCCCAACCCCAGCCCCTGGCCTGTTCTCCCAAACCAATACCAGCTGCCTTTCCCCGAGGGATGCTCTTGGGCAGGGGTGCATACGGGCAGCGATGGCCAGTGGCATACGGGGCAGCGATGGCCAGTTCCTGTCTTGCCCGTCTCCTGCAGTTACATCAGCCAGTGGCTATGCCCACAGGGGGCTGGACAAGCTGGAAGAGAATCTGCCCATCCTGCAGCAGCATCCAGAGAAGGTAACTGACAGTGCCAGGTAGGAGCCCTGGGGTGGGGGGCTCCTCTGAGCTGGACCCTCCTGGTCTATCTTCACTCTAGTGGGCGAGTGTGACAACATCCTCTCTGACCCTGTCTGTCTGTCCCCACCTTCCCTGTCTGTCCTCACCCTCCCCAAACCTACTCCCACCTGGGCAGCCCTGTGAATGGCCCAAGTGCCAACCAGATCAGTTGCAAACCTCCTGTGTTCCTGCCTTGCCCAGAGCAAAAGCCAAAGCTCTCTGCCTTGATTGTCCACTCCCGCCACGCTGGCCTCTGTCCTCTGTTCATAAGCAGCAGTCACAGAGACAAAAGCAGAGTCCTTGCCCTTGTGGGACTTTCATTCCAGGAAGTCTAGAAGCAAAGATAATGAACGGTCCTACCCCAGGACCTTTGCACGGGTGGGTCCTGCGTGGGGAGCCCGTCTTTCAGGCCTGCTTTGGCCTCACCTCTTCGGAGGCTTCCCTTCGCGCGCCCTTCTCACTGGAAGAGGTCTCCAGCTCGGCCCTTTCAGGAGGACTTCCTCTGGTGCCCATGTTCTTCTGGACATCCTCCCCGATGGAAACCACACGTGGCTACTATGCCTTTTGGAGGTGGCTTGTGACCAAGACACTCAGTTACTAATTTTGATGATTTGAAAGAGCTAACTTGAATTATTTGAAAAGAAGTAGCTAAATGTGCAGTGTGTCCCGGGTTAGACAGCGTGCTGTCAGGGTCCTAATGCCCAACGCCATGTTTTGCCCAGTAGCCTTGCTGAGCTATGACTCACAGACGTTAAGGTCAGCAGTTCAGTGCTTTCGTGTATTCAGATTGCACAATCACCAACATCAACCTTAGAACATCTCATCACCCCAAAAGGAGCTGTTATGCTCCTTCTCACCCTCGAATACCCTAGCCCTGACACCGCTCGCCCCCTTGTGTCCCTGGGGCTCTGCCGTTTGGACACCTCTCCTCAGTGGGCGCACACCGTGCAGCCTCCTGTCTGCTTCGCTCCGAGCACCCGTGCTCCAGGGCCGTGCACAACGCAGCTCCGTCAGCATTTCCCTCCCTTTTAAGGCTGAATATTGTCCTGGTGTCTGGACGGGCCACTTTCTGCTTATTCATCACGGACACCTGGGCCGTGTGACGCAGGGACCTCTGGCCACTGAGTGACCTGCAGCGGACATGGCGTACAAGCCGCGCTGGCTTTTGAGGAGCACCGCAGACAGCGGCCACCCCACTGGGGTGGGGGCACAGACTCTGCTCTGTGCTCTGTCTGGCCCCCCTCATGCAGCCTGGCACACAGTGGGTGCTTAACACACGCGCCCCCTGAGTCGGCCGGGTGAGACAGACGGCCATGCTCAGATACCCTACTCGCGTCCCTGGGTGGGGAATGGGAGAGGGCAGCGGCCGCTCCCGTTCTCTCAGGTTTTCCGCTGAGGCCACCAGCCAGGGTGGCCCTGTTAAGGCATGACCCCCCGGGCTGTGTCCTATTGATGCAGAGACAGCCTCAGCCAGGAAGAGTGGAGCAGGATTTGAACCCAGTTCCTTGGGGTGGGGGTGCATCCTGGCACTGTTCCTGGCCCCACCCACTCAAAGCCAAGAGCACCCCCAGTGACAGAAATGCCTCCCGCCATTGCCAAGTATTCTGGGGGAACCCCATCCACGCCTTGCTGGAAACCATTGTTCCCATTGACTTAATTATTAATGAGCTCCCAGGTTACTCTCTGCCGTCATGATGATTCAGTGTCCTACACTGTCTTAGTCACCTTGGCTGTTGTGACACAGGGCCACACACCATGGCCCAGGCAGCTCTTACCGTTCTAGTGGCTGAGAGTCCACGGTCGGGGCCTGGGCGGGACTGGCAGAGGCCTCCCCTTCGCTGGTGGGTGGCGACTTCCCGTGTCCGCTCTTGGCTGTCCCTGCCTGCCTGCGTCCTCACCTCTTATCAGGACACCAGTCACACTGGACTAGTCCGGCCTCGTTGAACCTGAATTGCCCCTGGAGAGACCTCATCTCCAAATGAAGTTTCATTCTATCCTCCTGGACTTGGGGCTTCAGTGTGGCTTAGCCCACGGGACAAAGAGCTGAAGGCACAGGGTGGGGGTGACCTGGTGGCCCGAGACATGCAGCTGGAAGACTCGAACCAGTCTGACCCAGCCCATCAGCTTTGGTCTTAACTGAGACACCAGACTTGACCTTGATCCTTTGGGGTCACTCTGGAGCTGGAATCCCTCTCTTATCTGCCCTGGAGAAAGGGGTGCAAGGGTGGGGTACCCAGGTGCAGAGGGCGGGTGGAGATGCTGAAGCTGCCCCTTCCTGCAGGTCCTGGCAGACACCAAGGAGCTTGTGTCATCCAAGGTGTTGGGGGCCCGAGAAGCAGTGTCCAGCACGGTGTCCGGCGCCAAGGACACTGTGGCCACCCGCATGACAGAAGCGATGGACGTGACACGGAGCACTGTGCAGAGTGGTGTGGATATGACCAAGTCCGTGGTGACCAGTGGTGTCCACTCTGTCATGGGCTCCCGCATGGGCCAGATGGTGCTGAGCGGAGTGGACACTGTTCTGGGCAAGTCTGAGACGTGGGTGGACAACCACCTGCCCATGACGGACGCCGAGCTGGGTGAGTGCGGCCCACGGGCCTGGGCCCATCTCCACCCTTTCCAACTTGGGGGCTGTCTCACTGGCCACCTGGAATCTGTCACTGGCTGCCACCTTGTGCCTGTCTCCTCTCCTGGCATCTGGCCCACAGGGATCAGTTCTCTGTCCTCCCCGGGGTCCCCTGTGTCTGTCCTCCCCACAGATGCCATTAGAGGGCACCTGGGAACATCTGAGTTCACTCCTTCACAGTCTGTCCTCCCCGCAACAGCCACCAGAGGGCACCTGTGAGCTCCTGAGTCAGGGTCTCCCCCACCCCCACAGCCTCCCAGGGCCCCCCTACACCCTTGTAAAAGCCCAGGTCTTTCAGGAGAGCCTCCTAAAGTGTGGAGTGTGGGACTCCCCTCATTCATGCAGCCTCACTGCCTCCCTTGCAGACCCTTGACCATGCTTCTGCCCCAGGACCTTTGCACTAGCTGGGCCCTCTGCCAGGAACATTTTTCTCCTAGACCCCAGAGGGGCTTCCTCCCTTCTGCTCCCTTTGTTCTCTAAGTTTCAGCCTCTGTTGTCTGTGTGTACATCCATACTGTGTGCTGAAACCCCCACCACTCTCGCCGTCTCTCTCCTCTTCGCACTCATCACTGACTGCACAAAGTGTCACCGCTGTGTCCCTGTGTCTGGAGAGGGCCGGCTCTCAGCAGGTGCTCACATTCTTGCATAAAATCACTCAACTGCCTCCATACCCCTCACCCCCAGAAACCTATTTGTTCATTCAGAGGCGCTCACAGAACTCAGACTAAAATATATGGACGTCAGGATGCAGGAGAGAATTTGAGGGGAGTCCTGGGTAGATGTTTCTGAGGTGAGGGTGACTGGAACACCAATGGAGGGAGGAGGGGCAGAGTCGTGCAGAAGTGAGGGTGAAGAAAGGCCTGGAAACAGAGCTGCAGCAGGCTGGCGGGCTGGCTGTGTGGGGCTGGCTGTGTGTGGGAGCAGCGGTGCCACGGAGGCCTGAGGAGGGAGGGGGTGAGGCTGGATGGTGATGTGAGCGTCACCCCCGGAAATGGGCAAGCCGGGCGCCTGTGGGCAGCAGAGGGACAGGACCCGACTCGCAGCTCTCTGGCGGCTGCCTGGGCGGCACAGACTTGGGTGATCGTGAATGTGGGCAGGGGGACCATGGTGGAGGGGCTCCTGTGGTCCAAGTAAGCAAGGGGATGGGGCAGGGAGCAGCAGGAACGGGGAGAAGTAGACAGCCGGTTTCGAGGCAAAAGCAGCCAGCCTCCGTGGTCAGCGTGTCCTCGGCGGGCCTGGCGGGCCTGGGCGTCGGTGCAGCGGCCCTCCAGCCGTGGGCCTTGCGCTGGGCTGGCAGCCGCCAGCAGCCCGAGGGTCACGGCACCACACTTCTCCGTGGGGCGCAGAGTTGGTTGATGTGAACCAAACATTTGGGACAGCAGGAAAAGGCTGGAAACACCAGATGAAGGCTCCCCACAGCGGCACTGTTGCTGTTCAGTGGGCCCCGTGTTCCCTAGAGGGTCCCAGGCACTGTGGGGGAGGGTCGTGAAGCAGCTTCCCCCCCCCCCCCGTCCCCTCCCTCGTTCCTGGAGCACCTCTGATGTCCCCACAGATGTCCCCCCGCCACCCCATCCCACCCCCATGGGTGAGAACTCCGCTTGCCTGTTTCAGAACTTCCTCTATGTGGGATCTAGTGGGTCCTTTGGGGAGCGGTGTGATCGTGAGTCCCTCTCATTTCTTGGCACAAAGTGCTGAGGATCATTTCTTTCTGTATTAGCTGGAAAACTTCCCCGGAGAAAGTTTTCTGCAGCTTTGAGTGTGGCGGATAAATGTCTCACTTCCGCTTTCTTTCTTTCTTTTTTTTTTTTTTTTTGGCATTATTTATTTATGTATAGGGGAGCGATCCAGCCGCTCCAGAGGTTAACAGTGAGATTTTGCATAGTGAGTTTGTGTGTAATAGTGAGTTTGTGCAGTCCACACACAGCCACACCCGCTCACGTACGGAGCGCTGCTTGCTTATGGCTGCTTCTGCACCACAGTCACCGTGTGGTGTGGTGTCCCCTGCAGAGCCCCCAAAACTGACTGCTGGCTCCATGCAGGACAAGTCCACCACTCCCTGAAGCCCCAGAATTGTGTAATGTTTGTGAAAACAGCTGCATTCCCCTGATCAAACATTTGTTTTGGTCAAGCGAATGCCGAAGACCAGATGAAGGACTTTGTCACTTTGCTCACCACTGTCTCGTCCTGGAGCGGTGTTTGACCTGGGGAGATGTGCAGATACGTGACTAAAGCGGGGAGCTCACTGACCAGCAGAACGGGCCCAGCCGCCCCGGCTATCTCAGGCTGTCTCGGGCATGTGCTTGCATTCCCTGTACTGTCTGATCCCTTTGAAATCAACTTTCCAGATTTGTTTAAAAAGCAAACTTTATTACAGAAGGCTGCAGTGTCTACTACAAATAGATAATAAAAATAACTAAAGCTCCTTTGGACACCTTTTCCAGAACAAGGCTGTCCAAACATCACGCTTCGGACCGCTCAGACGTGGGCCGTGGTACAAAAAGGGGAAGCCAAAGTGTTGGCAAAGGTTTTTGTTTGAAAGATTCATTTATTTGTGCATATAGGAACTGGGGTGCAGGCCAGAGGTGTGTGTGTGGGGGGGTGGTGAGAGGATTCACCAGACGCAGAGTGGGGAGCAGAACAGGCAGATCCACAAGTACACTGCTGAGGGGAGCAGCAGGGAGTGTCTGGAGAGGTCTGCTGCGCCCTGGGGGTCCCTCCCTGGCCAGAGGGAGGGTGGAAAACAGCTGCAGGCTATAGCTTTCTTACACTGTCTTTAACCCCTGCGCCACCAGGGAGGCTCGGCAAAGATTTTCTTTTTCTTTTTTTTTTTTTTAATAATATAGTAGTTTATTTTTACATCATTTTGTACATTTTTTTAAAAATCTCAATTGTCATCCCCGCGGGTTTCCCATCATGGAGTCACCCGTGTGCCATCACCATAGTCCCGTGCACTCCTACCCCCCCCCCCCCCCCCCCCCCCTCCCTCGTTTTCGATCTCATTCCCCACTCCACCCTGCTATGAGCGAAACCATCCAGTATTTTTCTTTCTCTTTCTGGCTTATCTCACTAAGCATGATCTCCAGCTCCATCCAAGTTGCTGCAAAAGACACGTGCTTCTTTCTTTTGGTTGCCGAGTAACATTCCATTGTGTCTATGTACCACATCGGCAAAGATTTTCTCAATGCTGGCTAGGAAATATTCTTGGCTGCCTGGGTCCCACGGCCCCTGCCACAGCTGTGCACCCCTGCAGATGTCACAGGAGAGCCCAGACAGTAGGGTGACTGGACGTGACTGCCTGCTACAGCTTTCTAAAGCCAGTGACATTTCAGCCAGGGGTGCTGTTTGTGGTCCCTGTGCACTATCAAACCCGGAGCAGGTTGCTTGCAGAGCTAAGCCTGTTGCTGCCAACTTGTGTTTAAAGGGAGCAGGATAAAATCGTTGGGGCGGGAGTTTTCTGTCCTGCGGCCTCGTAACTGTCCGAGCACTTTCCTGGGCCCCGTCGTCCCGACTTTCCCTTCTCCGCTGGTTACAATGATTCTGTGTGATCCAGACTTCTCCTCTGAGTCTCAAGGTCAGGACCCGCCTGGGTCTGTGGTCTGGCTGCAAATCCTGACTTGTGACCCTGGGCAAGTCACTCAGCCATCTGAGCCCCAGTTTCGAAAGGCTCGGCTCCTCTTACGCCCATTTTCAGAAGGGGGAAAGCAAGGCCAGGCAGCCTTTTCTCCCAGGCCTCACGCCTGCAGGCCCCAGACGCGCCCCCAGACCGCAGGCCCGGCGCCCGGCCTCGGCCCTCACGCCCGCTTTCCTCCCGCAGCCCGCCTCGCCACGTCCCTGGAGGGCTTCGACATGGCCACGGTGCAGCAGCAGCGGCAGGAGCAGAGCTACTTCGTGCGTCTGGGCTCCCTGTCAGAGCGCCTGCGCCAACGGGCCTACGAGCATTCCCTGGGGAAGCTGCAGCACACGCGGCAGAGGGCGCAGGAGGCCCTGGCGCAGCTGACGCAGGCGCTCAGCCTGGTGAGCGGCCGTGGGGTCACAGCTTCACCGTGACCACCCCTGCCTCGGGCTACTTCCCCGGACGGGCTCGGGGCCGCTGGGCCTCAGGAACCTGCGGTCTCCTTGTGCCTGGGCCTGAGGCCAAGGTGACGGTGTCAGCGGGTGGGTTGGCCTCTCCTGACGCCTCTCCCCTGGCCAGGGCAGGGGCGACGGCCTTCTCCCTGTGTCCCCCACACCTGTCTGTGGCCTCATCTCTTAGGGGGAGACTGACCAGATGGGGTTAGTGCCCAGCCCAGCGCCCCAGTCTAACTCAGTCACCTCCTTAAGACCCCTCCCAGTACAGCGACACTCCGAGGCCCCGGCGGTGGGCTCCAGCGTAGGCCTCGGGGGAGGAGACGTCCGGCTGGGGGCTGGGGGCTGGGCCCCGCTGCCCGCTCCTCCCGCACGGACTGGCTTGGGCTCTTTCCGTGGTCATCCCGTGGCCCTGCACAGCACACAGGGCTCAAGTGGAGAAGCGCTTGCGTCTTCATTTACAGTCACTTTTATTGGGAGATCATTTACACTCGATGAAAACTACCCATTTGAAAGTGTGCTGGGGCCGGAGGCTGTGACCATAGACAGGTAACACCCCAACATCAAGAGAGGGAATATTTCCTGTCCTCTAAAAAGTTAACTTTAGTTTTCCTTCTTTGTTTAGCTTCCTTCTTAGTACTGTCTCCTTCTATTGTATCACATTTTTTTTTTTTTAACAATTTCAAGCCACAGGAGATCGCCACGGGAGATCAGATGCACTGCCCTAACCATGTTTAAGTGTATAACTCAGTGGCATTAACTACAACTATCCCCCTCATCTCCAGGGCTTTCTCATCCCCCCTAACGGAAACCCTGTCCCACTAAACACTGCCCCCCTCCCCTCCCTCGGGGTGGGGAGGGCACCAGGCGCTCATTTGGCTTTGGTCAGATGCCCAGGCAGCTTGGTTCTCGCTCAGTGCCCCGTCTTTCCCTAGATGGAAACCGTCAAGCAGGGCGTCGACCAGAAGCTGACGGAGGGCCAGGAGAAGCTATATCAGATGTGGCTGAGCTGGAGCCAGAAGGAGCTTCCGGGCACGGAGAAGGCCGCAGCCAGGCCAGAGGTACCTGGGGAGTGGGGGGGTGCTGGGGCCCTGACTCCCCTCGTTCAGTGACCCCGCCTGCCTGGAGTGCTTTCTCCAGTCTTGCTGCCCATAAGCTGCCTTTAGGACGCCAGGACGCCCCCTCCAGGAAGCCCGACTTGCTTTCCCCTTTTGGACGTGGGTGTTGCGCTGGCCTGGAAGGCGTAGCCGTCCCAGCCTGCTAGGCGCTGTGGCTGTCTCTCCTTTGCCTCCGTCACCCACATGCGACAAGTCCCTGCGTGCGCGCCCGCCTGGCTCCCAGGGACAGCTGTGACTGCCCTTCCCGGCAGCTCCGACCTGTCCCGGCATCCGCCTTTGCCACCTGTGCCACCACCGTGGCGCTTCCACTGAACCACCGCCTTACCTAACTCGCACCCTCTCCCTGACCCTAGGTCTTTACACCAGCATCTCAGTCATCCTCCTGGGGCCCCAGTTTCCCCGACTGTAAATGAAATCCAGGAGCCTCAGAGGGCTGTGAACAGGCATAAGCTGAACTGACACATGAATGTTCACAGAACACTGTAGCCAAATTTCAAACGTTGCATCACCCCAAGGGGAGACCCCACCCTCACCAGCCATCACTGCCCAGCCCGGGGGACCTCAGTCTGCTTCCCGTCTGTGGCTCTGCCTGTCCCGGCCAGTCAGTGCACGCGCCACGTGGCCTCGCGTGTCTGGCTTCTCTCCCTGAGCCTCGTGCACTCAGGTCCACTCAGGTCCCTCCTCGCGGGGACGCTGACTCCCCTCGTTCCGTGACCCCGCCTGCCTGGAGTGCTTTCTCCAGTCTCGCCTCCATGACCTGCCTTAAGGCGCTGCCCGCCCTTCATGCCGAGTGCCGCCCACCTGACGGGCCATGGGGTGACTGCACGGATGCTCGGAGGAGCTGCCGGACGGGGTCTCCCCGCGGGGCTGCAGCGGCAGCAGCAGCGAGGGGGGTCTGCTTCTGCCCACTCGCTCGGCTCTGTGTTGGCTGGTTTGAGTCCAGCTGTGGGAGCGGGGACAGTGCTGGCTCCTGTGGGTTTGCCTTTCCCTGACGGCCGGTGAGGCTCAGCGGCTTGCACCGTGGGAGAAAAGTCTCCGCCTTTCTTCACGTTGCCTGTAGTGGGTCTCACACACAGCGCGGTGCTGCAGGCTGACCTCCCCGGCCGTGTCACCCACAGGAAGGTTCTCCCGAAGGTCGGTGGGACGGTCCCCCGTTTGCTTTCCAAACGGACCCAGCTCACCCACAACGAGTGGCCCCCGCCTCCCTCAGCAGGTGGAGTCCCACGCGCTGGCCATGGTCCGTGACGTCGCCCAGCAGCTGCAGGCCACCTGCGCCTCGCTGGGCTCCAGCATCCAGGGGCTGCCCGCCCACGTGAGGGACCAGGCCCAGCAGGCGCGCCGCCAGGTGGAGGACCTGCAGGCCACCTTCTCCGGCATCCACTCCTTCCAGGACCTGTCCGGCAGCATCCTGATGCAGAGCCGGGAGCAGGTGGCCAAGGCCCGGGAGGCCCTTGACCACATGGTGGAATATGTGGCCCAGAACACCCCTGTCACGTGGCTGGTGGGGCCCTTTGCCCCTGGAGTTACTGAGAAAGCCCCTGAGGAGAAGAAGTAGCAGGCAGGGAACTCGGGGTCCCGGGCCTGCCAGCGTGGCCACACGCTGTCCGGCGTCTCCCTGGGGGCAGACGTTTCTAACCACTTCTCCTGGTCTGTCTCACCTGGGGAACCCAAGGTCCTCAAAGCTGACCCGTCCCTCACCTCTCCGCGCTGAGAGGACGTGCGTGCTGAGCCGAGCCCTGCGGTCACTAGGGCGCTTTGAAAAATGTCTCGAAAACTTCCCAAGTGCTTTTCTTGAAATCAGATCTAGTCTTCTCTGTCCCTCTGCCTTTCCACACGTGGGCTCGAGGGCTAGCCTTCAGGAGCCAACCTGGACCTGAGGCCTGCGGGGGACAGGGGCTGGGGTGACTTCGGCTGAAGGGGCCGCTCTCTGGGACCCGCCTGGCGCCCCTTGGGGGCCTTGGTGCTTCATTGCTGCCTTAATAAATTTTACCTGCAGCCAAGTACAGCTTTGTGTGTGTGTGTGTGTGTGTGTGTCTCAGCAGCTGAACAATTGTCTGTGCGGCTTTCTCAGCTGCTGGGACTGGGCAGGGGCAGACCGGTAGGCCTGAGGCGTGTCGGGGGCCCATTTTGATGGTCAGCTGTGCGCTCTGCACTCGCGTGGCCGCCAAGGAATTTGGTCCTGGACGTCGCAGAGAAGAGCGGAGCACAAGGGGCCTTTCCTTCCTGCCTGGGTCCCAGGCCTCGCCTGTGGGTCTCGGCAGAGGCGGGAGACGGCCGCTCGCCCGTGCTGGCTGTCTCAGCGCGCAGGACAGGACGGCGAGTGGCAGCCGTCCCTTCAGAGACATGGCCACTCTGCCCCTGGTGCCTACGGTTCCTCGCCCCTGGCGAGGCGCTTGCAGGATGCAGGCAGGACCTAGAGATGGGAGTGATTGGGATCATCAGGAGTCCTTACAAGAGGGGCCCTCCCTGGGACTGCAGTGGGTTAAAGCGCAGCACTGGGAAGCTGGTTGCAGCCGCTTCAGCACAAGTTTGAACCTTGGCCAGGGAGTGACCCACATGGCCCAGCAGACCTCTCCTGACCACCCGCTGCTCCCCTCAGCAGTCTACTTCATCGATCTGCCCGTTCTGCTCCCCACTGTGTCTCTGGTGAATCCTCTCACAACCCCTTTTATTTTAAAAATAAAAGTCCTTAGAAGGGGGCAGCTAGAAGAGGCAAGATCAGAGTCCAGTGGATGGGACACGTGCTGCTCTCTGAAGTGGAGGAAGGGGCCAGGAAGCAGGGGTACAGCCAATGAGCACAGATAAACCACTGGCCTCACCGGCCTCCGCAGCAGCGGGGCACCCAGGCGTGACATTGACTAAACGAGCCACCTGGATGAAGCTTCAACACAGGAGAAGCAAAAGTGGGGAAATCTGAAAGGTTTCCTGGCTGGGTCACATGGAGCAGGGTCCACCCGGGGCCTCCACTGGGCTGGAAATGACCTTGACCTGGGTGTGCAGGTTCCCGGTGCCGGGCCCTGGGCTGCCCCTGGAGGTCTGCACACAGTCGACCCCGGACGACAGGGTTTGAGCTGTGCGGATGCACGTTGACGTGGCTGTTTCTATTAGCGGGATCCACATTCTCAGATTCAGCCAAACCGGGGCAGCTTCCTGAATCAGCAGATCCGGAACCTCGGATTTGGAGGGCTGATTCTAAGTCAGAGGGGGTCTTGGACGGGGTAGCGGTGGGTAGCCCTGAACTCCTGTGCCTCAGGGGTTCACTGGCTGTGACTTTTACCTCCACTAAGAAATAGAAAGTGAGAGATAGGGCTGATAGGGGAATTGAACCCCTGTTCGCTTCTGGTGGAAGTATGAAAAGACTGTTCATTTGGAGAACAGGTTGACAGTGCTGAGTAAAAGCGAGATGACTCCTCCATGTCTAGGAGAAGTCCCAGAAGTTCCCCTTACCCTAGGGAAATGCTGATTGAGTTATGCCTATGGCAGTCCCAGAAGGCACATGCTGTGCGCAGGTAACAAGGCAGAGAAACTAAGGCACAGCTCAGCAGGCCCACCCTGGGCTCCGCTTCACAACTGGTAAATGTCCCAGTGAGGATTTGAAGCCAGAACTCAGGTTTTCCCATCACTGTGTTTACTTCGCCCTGATAGAAGGTGGCGATGCCTGTTTTGAGGGGCCTAGAAGTACTATCTAGTGGTAGGGAACTTGTGAAAGCACAATCCAGGGCCTCCCTGGCGGTGCAGAGGTTAAAGCGCAGCACTCCGAAGCTGTCCCAAGCGCCCGCAGCACGAGTTCAATCCCAGACCAGGGAGTGACCCCCAGGGCGCAGCAGACTTCTCCTGTCCCCCCACCTTCTCCCCTCAGCAGTGGATTTCAGTGGATCCGCCTGATCTGCTCCCCACTCTGTCTCTGGGGAATCCTCTCAATGCCCCCTACCTCTGGTCTGTACCCCAGTTCTTGTGTGCATAAATAAATCAATCTTTTAAAAAATTAATAATATAAATTGCGAACCACGTTTGGAGAACCTGTGACATTTATCAGCGATGAAGGTGGGTTACCTGCATCAGCTTAGAAAGCGTCAGCCATGTTGTCCATGTGCACAGACACTCCTGTGTCTGGGGTCACTGCCTGCAGCCTTCACCCCGGCCAGGCGGCACCCAGCCACATCCCCCTTAGCAGCACCATGGCCTGGCCTGGCCTGGCTGCCTTCCAGCCGCAGCAGCAGCAGCAGGGAGCAGTTGCGACTTGGGCAGTCTGGCTGGGAAAGACAGAGATGTTTACTGTAGGGAGCCTTCCCAAAAAGTTGGCTGATTTGTGGCAATAGAGTCTAAACATCACATTCATGGTGTCAACCAAGAAAAACCTGATGATGTTCAAGTGAAATAATGGCATTTTTTGGGGGGGGGCCATCTGAGGCTTGCAAATTGGGGAGCCCCCTTTCAGGTATCAGTCAGCCCAAGTGGTATCCCTTTGGATCTTTGCTCGAGGAAGTATTAAGGGGAAAAGATGGACAGGAGAAGGGTAGACTTGACCAAGAACTAGGTTTATAAATGATATTCCAGAATTCATTAATTCGTAGTCAAGTTGGCCTTGGCTGCCTGGAGTAAACAAGGAAAAAAACGTTTGTGCAGTTCCCAGAGAAGGCTGTGCCCAGCTACCAACAGGCTGTTGCTAGTCAGTAAATATCAATAGACTGTAAAAAGTTACAAGCCTGGTAAGTTGCTTCCCAGGCACAAGATGGCGTCAGCTCAGCCCCGTTTTCACAGTGGGGACGAGACTGAGCAAAGGTGGGAGGTGGTGGGGGGGCGGGGTGGAGGACACCCCAGCCTGCATGGACCTCAACTGCGACACTGCCTTTCTTTCTCTGAGGGGGGGGCGTGGCTGCCCCATCTGGGCACGGTTTACCCGGGACAGCCCAGGGCCCAGGGCCCAGGTCCAGGAAGCTGTGCTCTCTGTTTCCCGCCTTCTCTGAGCCTCCTTTTCTCACTTATTCAATGGGCGTCTGCAAAGCTGCCCGGGAGGGTTTTGTTTGCTGTTGTTTTTAGCTTTTCCAATAAACATGAAAAGATTTTTAAAAAATTTTTTATAAGTTTATTTTGACATCATTTTGTGACTTTTTCCATCTCAGTCGTAATCCCCGTGGGCTTCCCACCACCAAATCACCTGTGTGCCATCAGCATCATCCCGTGCACACACACCCCCCTCCCACTTTTTATTCCAGTCCCCACTCCACCCCTATAAAATGACTCTGGTATATAGTTGTTCATTATTATTATTATTAAAAAATGAGAAGGATTTTAACTTCCCCATCTTTTTCTTTGGAAAGCAAAATGAATACAACCGATGTCAGAACATCCAGCAGACAAAGTGAAGGAAGTGACTCTCCCATTCACGGACCCCTTTATCAGCAAAGCTACCAGTTTCACACCGGGGAGTTTCTGCTGGTCCCCTGGGCCCCTGCCGCTGCCAGCTCCGTTTTCGTGCAGGAACCACGGTGCCAGTTCCCCACTTCTTCGTCTTGGTTTTGCCACAGAAGGAACAAAGGGACGTGGCGTGTTGCTGGGTTTCAGTTTTCTTTGCCACTTTCCTAGGGGCACGAAGACAGGTCCTGTGTTGACCCCCATCGGGACCTTGGTGTGTCTGGCCACTTGGCAAACTAGGCCAGTGCCCAGTAGCCCAATGTTGTTTTAAGACATGGATCCTGGGGTCCAGCACCCCCACACATGCAGAAAGAATGGGGCTGGGGGGCTGGATGGCGAATGCCCGCTGTGGGGAGGGTAGAACATTCCCCTGGTGGGAGAGGGCTTCCAGAAGCCCACCGAGAACTGGAGGTAACGGGACCACGCGAAAAAATAGTGAGAGTAATGAACAGCCATAGGCCAGAGACATTTTATGGGGTGGAGCGGGGCACGGGAGCAAACACAGTGGGGGGAGGGACATGCACTGATGGCACACGGGTGACTTGGTGATGGGAAGCCCAAGGGGATTGCAACTGAGATGGAAAAATGCACAAAATGATGTAAAACCACTATATTATTTAAAAAAGAAAAAAGGGAACAGGAGGGCTAGTGACTCTGTCCCTAGTCAAAAACCACAGATATTTCCATATTGCATTGCCGCCAGCGGCTCAAAACACGACTGACACGCATCACTGTCATGGGGCTGGAAGCTGTTGTTATTTAATGTGGTGATAAGTACAAAAAATATCACTAGGTATTGATGGTTTGCTTTGGTTTTGTTCTGTTTCAAAGTGTACTTTTTTAAAAAGAGATTTATTTATTTATGCACATAGAACTGGGGCACAGGCCAGAGGTGCAGGGGCGGTGAGAGGCTTCACCAGAGACAGAGTGGGGAGCAGAACAGGCAGACCGACGAAGTACACCGCTGAGGGGAGCAGCGGGCGGGTCAGGAGAGGTCTGCCGCGCCATGTGGTCACCTCCGGGGCAGGCGGGAATCGAACTCATGCAGAAGTGGCTTTAGATTCTCAGTGCAGTGCTTTAACCCGCTGCGTCACCAGGCAGGGCCCGGGCCTCAAACTTTTAAAGGCGTTCTTTTGCAAGTCTTAAGAAAATTGAACTAAACAACCTAAAATTTACTTATTGCCACTTTTAAGCATAAAGCACTTTTTCATTTTAATTTTTTAAAATATTTGTTTACATCACTCTTCATTTTGGCAGTGTGTGCTTTCTTCACCTGGATGGTAACCCCCGTGGGCGGCCTGCCACCAGTTCACCCGTGTGCCCTGCCCGCCCCTGGCCCCTGTTTTGAATAGGATCAAACAGTTTGAATAGTTGTTTCCTGATTTAGTTTTTACTTTATTACAATTACTAGCATAAAGCGTTCTAAGGAAAAGCATTGTAAAGCCCTTAGCATCGTGGCCTCAAGGTCCACCCAGGTCACCGCCTGCATTGTGATTTTTTTTTAATCATATATATATATATTTTTTTTTTTTTACATCATTTTTCATTTTGTGCCCTGTGTCACGATTTCTTTCCTTTGT